CTGTCCACAGCTCCGGATTCCCCCCCCCGTCCACCGCTCAGGATACCCCCTTAATGTGCAAAACCCCTTTCTGCCCTCTTGCGGTACAGAACCCCTTTCTGCCCTCTTGCGGTACAGAACCCCTTTCTGCCCTCTTGCAGTACAGAACCCCTTTCTGCCCTCTTGCAGTACAGAACCCTGTTGTACTCCTAAACTCTTCTCTGCTCCGGGCTGAGGTCTCCTTATCACCCAGACTACCTGTCACTCGTCTGTTCTCCAGACCCTCCATTACACGTGTGACCTCCCACCCCTTACATGTGGTACTCTGCTACTCCCGTATGTCCTTCCTGTCGTACAATGGCCGCCATGTTCTGGATGTGACCTTGGCATAGTCTTTGGTTGCTGAGTCCATCACCTGATCCCTTTTCATGTCTCCTCTTTGTACAGATTGGATCGCACATCAAGCAGCGGGTGCAGGAATTGGGTCACGGCTGCTCTCTGCTGGTCACCAAAGCGGGAGCTCTGCAGTGCTGCCCGACGGACAGTTATACAAAGAAGGAGCTGATAGATTGTGCCCGGCGCGTGTCGGAGAAGGTGAGGAAGGATCTCTTCATCTCATCCTGGCAGTCTGATGTTCTTGCATGGCCTGTCTCCTAACCGTGTATTGTCCACTTGTAGGTGTCCCACGTCCTGGCTGCTCTGCAAGCTGGAAACCGCGGCACCCAGGCCTGCATCACTGCCGCCAGCGCCGTCTCTGGAATCATTGCCGACCTGGACACAACCATCATGTTTGCCACAGCCGGCACACTGAACCGGGAGAACGCTGAAACCTTTGCAGATCACCGGTAAGGCCAGCACAAGGAGATGTGTGAAAGAAGGAAGAGGCTTTGAAGCTCCACACAAGACAGATCATGTAGGAGGAACCATCAGTTATAGGGACATCATGGGTGAGGAGGAGCCATCTGCTATAGGGACATCATGGGAGGGGAGGAACCATCTGCTATAGGGACATCATGGGAGGGGAGGAACCATCTGCTATAGGGACATCATGGGAGGGGAGGAACCATCTGCTATAGGGACATCATGGGAGGGGAGGAACCATCTGCTATAGGGACATCATGGGAGGGGAGGAACCATCTGCTATAGGGACATCATGGGAGGGGAGGAACCATCTGCTATAGGGACATCATGGGAGGGGAGGAACCATCTGCTATAGGGACATCATGGGAGGGGAGGAACCATCTGCTATAGGGACATCATGGGAGGGGAGGAACCATCTGCTATAGGGACATCATGGGAGGGGAGGAACCATCTGCTATAGGGACATCATGGGAGGGGAGGAACCATCTGCTATAGGGACATCATGGGAGGGGAGGAACCATCTGCTATAGGGACATCATGGGAGGGGAGGAACCATCTGCTATAGGGACATCATGGGAGGGGAGGAACCATCTGCTATAGGGACATCATGGGAGGGGAGGAACCATCTGCTATAGGGACATCATGGGAGGGGAGGAACCATCTGCTATAGGGACATCATGGGAGGGGAGGAACCATCTGCTATAGGGACATCATGGGAGGGGAGGAACCATCTGCTATAGGGACATCATGGGAGGGGAGGAACCATCTGCTATAGGGACATCATGGGAGGGGAGGAACCATCTGCTATAGGGACATCATGGGAGGGGAGGAACCATCTGCTATAGGGACATCATGGGAGGGGAGGAACCATCTGCTATAGGGACATCATGGGAGGGGAGGAACCATCTGCTATAGGGACATCATGGGAGGGGAGGAACCATCTGCTATAGGGACATCATGGGAGGGGAGGAACCATCTGCTATAGGGACATCATGGGAGGGGAGGAACCATCTGCTATAGGGACATCATGGGAGGGGAGGAACCATCTGCTATAGGGACATCATGGGAGGGGAGGAACCATCTGCTATAGGGACATCATGGGAGGGGAGGAACCATCTGCTATAGGGACATCATGGGTGAGGAGGAACCATCAGTTATAGGGACATAATGGGTGAGGAGGAACCATCCGCTATAGGGACATCATTAGTGAGGAAGAGCCATCAGTTATGGGGACATCATAGATCAGGTGGAACTAATGGTTGTAGGGACATCATGGGTGAGGAGAAGCTCATGGTTATAGGGAAATCATGGTTCGGGAGTTATTGGTTATGGGGACACCATGGTTGAGGAGGAGTTATGGGGACACCATGGGTGAGGAGTAGGGACATCATGGGTGAGGAGAAGCTCATGGTTATGTGGACACCATGGGTGAGGTAGTATGTGGCTGGCTTACCTTTTGGGTGCTTCTTCTTCCTCCAGGGAAGGTATCTTGAAGACAGCAAAAGCTCTGGTGGAGGACACAAAGGTTCTGGTCCAAAATGCCACATCCAGCCAGGAGAAGCTGGCCCAAGCTGCCCAGTCTTCAGTGTCCACCATCACGCGACTAGCCGAGAACGTTAAACTGGGGGCGGCCAGTCTGGGCTCAGAAGACCCCGAGACTCAGGTATCACTCATGGTTATCTCTGACCTTCCAGGTATTGTTCAGGAGAAGTTGGTGGGAAGAGATGTGATGAGAACCCTCTTGGAGACCCTCCGTGGCGGTGACAGCTGATACCGGGCACTTCCACTGGATCTCACCCTCTCTCTGACCTCTTTTCTTAGGTGGTGCTTATTAATGCTGTTAAGGACGTGGCAAAGGCATTGGGTGATCTCATCAGCGCCACGAAGGCGGCAGCCGGGAAGTCCAGCGATGACCCATCGGTTTACCAGCTGAAGAATTCGGCCAAGGTGGGATATTGGGGGTTATGGGGGATGGGAGAAGGTCCTTGCCTGGCGGCAATTCCCTCATCATCAGTACTCTGCTTACAGGTCATGGTGACCAATGTGACGTCTCTCCTAAAAACTGTCAAAGCCGTGGAGGACGAAGCCACCAAGGGAACCCGGGCATTGGAGGCCACCATCGAGCACATACGTCAGGAGCTGGCGGTAAGTTTGGGTGGATGGCTGCAGGCCGGGAACGTGTCAGATCTGAAGGGCCCCGTACTGTTTATGCTCCTCGATGCCGGGCTGCGTGCCGCCATTTTGTTCAGGGATGCCCAGGGCCAGATTTCCCACAAGGCCAACCAAGGCCCGGCCTCAGACCTTGGGGATGCCACGCTACATCATGGGGGAGGAAAGAAGCTGCCCCAGAAATTGGTCTCGCCGATACTCGTGGCCTACAGTATGCTTGTAGACAAAACACATGACCAGTAAATAATCTGCAGGCGTGCACTGAGCGTGCTCCTGTGACTGGGCATTATGGGGTGACGTGGGCTGCATGGGGCTTATCCCCCCCTCGGCCGTCATGTCTGTCCCTCGTCCTCCTTGTGCCTGATGTTCCGTATTGTCACTTCCAGGTCTTCTCCTCCCCCGAGCCTCCTCCAAAGACCTCCACGCCCGAAGATTTTATCCGTACCACCAAAGGTATCACCATGGCAACCGCTAAAGCTGTCGCTGCCGGAAACTCCTGTCGCCAGGAAGATGTTATCGCCACGGCCAACTTGAGTCGCCGCGCCATTGCCGACATGCTGCATTCCTGCAAGGTTTGGTCATGTGACATTGCGGGATGATTGGAAGAAGGGGTGGATACATGTTCCATGTGGTCATGTGACACAGGAGGAGGGGCAATGATTGGGTGGAGACTTGTTCAATATGGTCATGTGACTGTGGGATGGGTGGAGACATGTTTCATATGGTCATGTGACTGTGGGATGGGTGATGATTGGGTGGAGACATGTTCCATATGGTCATGTGGCTGTGGGATGGGTGATGATTGGGTGGAGACATGTTCCATATGGTCATGTGACTGTGGGATGGCTGATGATTGGGTGGAGACATGTTCCATATGGTCATGTGACTGTGGGATGGTTGATGATTGGGTGGAGACATGTTCCATATGGTCATGTGACTGTGGGATGGCTGATGATTGGGTGGAGACATGTTCAACCCTCTTGGAGACCCTCCGTGGCGGTGACAGCTGATACCGGGCACTTCCACTGGATCTCACCCTCTCTCTGACCTCTTTTCTTAGGTGGTGCTTATTAATGCTGTTAAGGACGTGGCAAAGGCATTGGGTGATCTCATCAGCGCCACGAAGGCGGCAGCCGGGAAGTCCAGCGATGACCCATCGGTTTACCAGCTGAAGAATTCGGCCAAGGTGGGATATTGGGGGTTATGGGGGATGGGAGAAGGTCCTTGCCTGGCGGCAATTCCCTCATCATCAGTACTCTGCTTACAGGTCATGGTGACCAATGTGACGTCTCTCCTAAAAACTGTCAAAGCCGTGGAGGACGAAGCCACCAAGGGAACCCGGGCATTGGAGGCCACCATCGAGCACATACGTCAGGAGCTGGCGGTAAGTTTGGGTGGATGGCTGCAGGCCGGGAACGTGTCAGATCTGAAGGGCCCCGTACTGTTTATGCTCCTCGATGCCGGGCTGCGTGCCGCCATTTTGTTCAGGGATGCCCAGGGCCAGATTTCCCACAAGGCCAACCAAGGCCCGGCCTCAGACCTTGGGGATGCCACGCTACATCATGGGGGAGGAAAGAAGCTGCCCCAGAAATTGGTCTCGCCGATACTCGTGGCCTACAGTATGCTTGTAGACAAAACACATGACCAGTAAATAATCTGCAGGCGTGCACTGAGCGTGCTCCTGTGACTGGGCATTATGGGGTGACGTGGGCTGCATGGGGCTTATCCCCCCCTCGGCCGTCATGTCTGTCCCTCGTCCTCCTTGTGCCTGATGTTCCGTATTGTCACTTCCAGGTCTTCTCCTCCCCCGAGCCTCCTCCAAAGACCTCCACGCCCGAAGATTTTATCCGTACCACCAAAGGTATCACCATGGCAACCGCTAAAGCTGTCGCTGCCGGAAACTCCTGTCGCCAGGAAGATGTTATCGCCACGGCCAACTTGAGTCGCCGCGCCATTGCCGACATGCTGCATTCCTGCAAGGTTTGGTCATGTGACATTGCGGGATGATTGGAAGAAGGGGTGGATACATGTTCCATGTGGTCATGTGACACAGGAGGAGGGGCAATGATTGGGTGGAGACTTGTTCAATATGGTCATGTGACTGTGGGATGGGTGGAGACATGTTTCATATGGTCATGTGACTGTGGGATGGGTGATGATTGGGTGGAGACATGTTCCATATGGTCATGTGGCTGTGGGATGGGTGATGATTGGGTGGAGACATGTTCCATATGGTCATGTGACTGTGGGATGGCTGATGATTGGGTGGAGACATGTTCCATATGGTCATGTGACTGTGGGATGGTTGATGATTGGGTGGAGACATGTTCCATATGGTCATGTGACTGTGGGATGGCTGATGATTGGGTGGAGACATGTTCCATATGGTCATGTGACTGTGGGATGGCTGATGATTGGGTGGAGACATGTTCTACCGTGTTTCCCCGAAAATAAGACACAGGGTCATATATGTTATATATTTTTTGGCTCAAAGAAACGCAGGAGGTCTTATATTCTTAACCCCTTCATGACTGAGGGAGTTTCCAGTCTCTGGTCATAAATGACGGACACGCGTGTTACATTGTTGCCGTGCGATTCTTCCCCGTCAGTCATATACATGTCCCCGCACATGTTGTATGTTAGAGGACGGAGCGGGCGATAAGAAGCCTTGTTGCAGCAGTTTGATGATTCGCGTGGAGGAGAATGTTTCTTTTCTGCACTTTGTAAAACAACAACAAGGTATTTAGTGTCAGTTTATATCTCTCGGTCGCTATGACGACGGTTTGATAAATGATCTGTTGTCATGTTTGGTTATTATTCGGCCGCTCCAGACTGAGGAACATCCCATAATAATCACCTGAGAGACGGATCTCAGGAGCGCAGAGGATGGGAAGAGATACATTGTAACACTCCTGACCCTGGAACGTGTCACATGGGGGGCCGTCTCTGGAGCTGTGACAATGAAGAGCAGAGAGGGGACTGACTCCGCCCCCTCTCCGCCATCAGATACCGGATCACTATTTAGCGATCCCGTATTTGTATGTAACGGCTTCATTCTCTCATACATGACTGGTGACCGGCATTACAGAGCCGCCAATAACTCGTCACGTACAGCGCGCGTCTCCCGTCACCAAGGGGTTAATGTACAACCATCGGGGGGCCGCACCTTTCCCAGAGCAATGTGGTGACCAATCGCTGGCCAGAATGAGCGACGCTGTCACTATGGATTCCTCACAGGCGGAGCGCATTTGTTATGACTCCGCCTGTGACAGGAGGCGGGGCTATAGAGGAGGGTTCGGCTTATACGGCTCTGCCGCCACCGGCCCCAAGAATGGTCACAACTAGGTCTTATTTTTGGGAAAACACGGTATGTAGTCATGTGACTGGGCTGGGTGATGAATGGGTGGAAGGGGCGGAGTCATGTTCTGTGTGGTCATGTGACTGTGGGCTGGGTGGAAGGGGCGGAGTCATGTTCTGTGTGGTCATATGACTGGGATGGGTGATGATTGGGTGGAAGGGGCGGAGTCATGTTCTGTGTGGTCATGTGACTGGGATGGGTGGAAGGGGCAGAGTCATGTTCTATGTGGTTTCTCGTGTCTTACAGGAAGCCGCCTATCACCCTGAGGTAAACCGCGATGTGCGTATCCGGGCCACGCGATTCGGCAAGGAGTGCGCCGTGGGCTATCTACAGCTTCTGGAGCATGTGTTACTGGTGAGAACACCCCTGTGTGTGGGAGGGGTCTCCGTGTGCTGGTGACACGTGGGAGGGGTCCCCGTGTGTGGGTGACACGTGGGAGGGGTCCCTGTGTGGGGGTGACACATGGGAGGGGTCCCTGTGTGGAAGTGACACGTGGGAGGGGTCCCTGTGTAGGGGTCCCTGTGTGGGGGTGACACATGGGAGGGGTCCCTGTGTGGAAGTGACACGTGGGAGGGGTCCCTGTGTAGGGGTCCCTGTGTGGGGGTGACACATGGGAGGGGTCCCTGTGTGGAAGTGACACGTGGGAGGGGTCCCTGTGTAGGGGTCCCTGTGTGGGGGTGACACATGGGAGGGGTCCCTGTGTGGAAGTGACACGTGGGAGGGGTCCCTGTGTAGGGGTCCCTGTGTGGGGGTGACACATGGGAGGGGTCCCTGTGTGGAAGTGACACGTGGGAGGGGTCCCTGTGTAGGGGTCCCTGTGTGGGGGTGACACATGGGAGGGGTCCCTGTGTGGAAGTGACACGTGGGAGGGGTCCCTGTGTAGGGGTCCCTGTGTGGGGGTGACACATGGGAGGGGTCCCTGTGTGGAAGTGACACGTGGGAGGGGTCCCTGTGTAGGGGTCCCTGTGTGGGGGTGACACATGGGAGGGGTCCCTGTGTGGAAGTGACACGTGGGAGGGGTCCCTGTGTAGGGGTCCCTGTGTGGGGGTGACACATGGGAGGGGTCCCTGTGTGGAAGTGACACGTGGGAGGGGTCCCTGTGTAGGGGTCCCTGTGTGGGGGTGACACATGGGAGGGGTCCCTGTGTGGAAGTGACACGTGGGAGGGGTCCCTGTGTAGGGGTCCCTGTGTGGGGGTGACACATGGGAGGGGTCCCTGTGTGGAAGTGACACGTGGGAGGGGTCCCTGTGTAGGGGTCCCTGTGTGGGGGTGACACATGGGAGGGGTCCCTGTGTGGAAGTGACACGTGGGAGGGGTCCCTGTGTAGGGGTCCCTGTGTGGGGGTGACACATGGGAGGGGTCCCTGTGTGGAAGTGACACGTGGGAGGGGTCCCTGTGTAGGGGTCCCTGTGTGGGGGTGACACATGGGAGGGGTCCCTGTGTGGAAGTGACACGTGGGAGGGGTCCCTGTGTAGGGGTCCCTGTGTGGGGGTGACACGTGGGAGGGGTCCCTGTGTAGGGGTCCCTGTGTGGGGGTGACACGTGGGAGGGGTCTCTGTGTGTGGGTGACACGTGGGAGGTCCATGTGAATTCTCTTCGTGTCTCTTAGATCCTCCAGAAGCCGAGCTCAGACTTGAAGCAGCAGCTGGCCGGGTTCTCTAAGCACGTGGCCGGTTCTGTCACAGAGCTGATCCAGGCCGCTGAGGCCATGAAAGGTAACGTGTCCTGCGCTGCCGTGTGCCGCTCTCCTATTGGTTGCTGGCT